ATCTCTAGGGATCTCTTGAGGCCTAGGTCTTTGGCTTTGAGAGTGAGTTGAGACCTTTGGTTTATCTTTTGTATTAGTGTCTTTCTGTTCTTGGTTTATCAATAGGTTAGTGTGTTGTAAGTCTGTAATTTGGATTATCGAGTCTGTTGCATTGGGTTCTGTTTTATTGTAGTCAATGTTATCAATGGAAGCATTTGTTGTTATGTTTGTTGTTAATTGTTGGGGGTTCCATCACATTCCAATTGCTTTTTTAAGTCATGCATTTTCAAAGACTCCCAGTCACTTGTCAGTTTATGAACGAGAGTTGAAGGCTATTGTTTTCGCAGTGCACAAGTGGAGGCACTATCTTTTAGGAAGGAAATACATTATCAGGACAAATCAGCGCAGTTTGAAGTTCCTAACTGAACAAAAGTTAATGGTAGAAGGTCAACAGAAATTATTGCAAAATTATTAGGTTTTGACTTCGAAATTCAATACAGGCCAGGGGTTGAAAACAGGGCAACATACGCCCTTTCGAGGGTGATGGAGTTTGAACAATTAAATATCCTTTCTAGCCCCAGTTTACAAGAGTTGGCAGAGGAAGTGCTGGAAAACACAGCCATCCATAAGGTGATGTTGGAAGTAATGTAGAACCCAGCTGCTTATCCTGATTATAAGGTGGTAGGAGGGTGTTTGTGGTTCAAGGGCAGGTTGGTTCTCCCTCAAAATCCCTATCTATATAGTTGTTACTTCAAGATTTCCACTCTTCTCCTTGGGGTGGTCATTTCAGCGAGTTAAGGACTTTTAAACGGCTAGCTTCTATGTTTTATTGGAAGGGAATGCGAATAGACTTGGCAGCATTTGTTCAGGCCTGTAACACCTGTCAGCAACAAAAAAATTCCCATCTTTCTCCAGCTGGACTGTTGCAACCTTTAATATTCCTAATAAGTTTTGGGAGGAGTTATCTATGGATTTTATAGATGGTTTACCAAAACCCAAAGGAGTAGATACAATTTCGGTAGTAGTGGTCCGCCACCTTACGAAATTTGCTCATATTCTTACATTATCACACCGTTACACAGCCCAAGAAGTGGCAGCAATATTTGTAAGTAAGGTGGTTCGGTTGCATGGATTTCCCAAGTTCATTGTTTCTAATAGGGTAGGGTGTTTGTTGGTAAATTTTGGGGTGAATTATGTTATTTGGCAGGCACTAAATTGAAGTTCAGTTAGGCATACCATCCATAAACGGACAGTCAAACCAAGGTGGTGAATCGGATATTGGAAACATACCTACGTTGCTTTGTAGGACAGCATCCTAAGAGCTAGGTAAAGTGATGTCGTGGGCAGAATTTTGGTTGAACACTTCTTTTAACAAGTCTATTAATATGACTCCCTTTAAGGCTTATATGGCCGTGACCCTCCTATGCTGATATAGTTTGAGGTGGGCAGTACTAAATTAGAGGCAGTGGATCAACTTTTGAGCATGTGTGACGCTGTTTTAGAGGAATTAAAATAGAACTTTTGCAGAGCACATGAACGCATGAGGATTCATGCTATTAAGCACAGACGGGAAGGGGAGTATGCTGTTGGGGAGAAAGTCTATTTAAAGCTACAGTCATATACGCTTAAGTCGTTGGCTAGACGCTTAAATCAGAAATTGAGTCTAAGGTTTTATGGCCCCTTTGAAATTCTTCAAAAGATAGGGTCAGTGGCTTATGAGCTTAACCGACCATATTATGCTCAAATACACCCTATTTTCCATGTCTCATAGCTAAAAAGAGCCGTGGATTCTGCTGTGGAATTTGTGAAGTTAGTTAGTTAGTATAGAAGAGAGAGTGGAGGGGAGTAAGGCAATTTGTGAAGAATGTGGTAGTGGGTAAGGGAGAGGTGTTGAGGAGCCCTATGGCAGCCATTTTTACCGTTTTTAATCTGTAACATGTTGTCACATAGAGTTTTCCATTGATATATATGAATACATATATCAGTTTACAGTATTCTTTAGTAAATTGATTGTGGTTGCATCAATGTGACACTGCACACAGGGTAGGGACGCAATTATGGTTAAGTGTGTATATTAGTTCGGTGCTTAGATTTTGTTTCTACCCAAACAGAGTTGGTTAAGTCTTGTATTAAATCTGTTGTAACAGACTTTAACTATCTCCAGTATTCAGTTAAGAAAGTTGTCTCCAACTGTTCTTTACTGATTGTATAAATATAAGAACTCGAGCTTGAGTTCATTTTAAAAATAGAAAATTCACAGATTACAGAATGGCTTCCTTTTCACTCAATCTCATTTTCTTCCATTTTCCTTCACTTTCTTTCACTTTCTCATCCAAACACAAAGATAATAATGAGGAATACAGTAGAGGAAAAAATTATATGCTTTTAAACACTGAAAGGCATTAATACTGACACAATAGCATCAAAACCAACATAAATAAACATGTAAACTCAACAAAGAAAGTACAATGCTTAAGACCATTTCGACACAATATACTTATGCATCTACCCAAAGATCCACAAGTTAACTTTGAGTAAATTACCAAAAGCAGAAAAAATTAATTAAGGCTGGTGATGAATGTTTTAATTTATTCAGATCTGCATCTTTCAGCAGTTCAGCATGAGATTTAAACAAAGCCAAACCATTTGAAACTTTATAGGTTGTATAGTTTTAAGAGTGTAAGATATAAAATAAAAATTAAAGAAAAAACAATATAACAAATATAATAGGATCTTTAACAATAAAAACTCTATCCTGTTTTCTTGGCACCAAAACAACATAGAAGGAAAGAATTTATTTTCCCAAATCTTGCTTCTGATTTGACAATACAATATGGACAGAGGAATAAATAAGCATAACCACAAATGGAAACTTAAGAAGTATACACACACAGGGCCCTGCAATACACAATTCCACAGAACAGCAACACAGCAAAACAGTAACCAAATTAGAACATGCAGTAGATCCATATATATTAGTATGAAAAGAATTAAGTCTAACTTAGAAAACTCAAACGGCAGAAAATGAAGGTTGCAACATCTTTTATATTTTGGACATTCGAAAACAGTACTAAGATGTTATTAAGATATTGTTCTGGTATTTGTATTTAGTTATTCTAAAATCAAACTATGAGCACCATACTGAGATGTTGGAGTGACACAGTTAGTGTCTGTGTCCAATAGGTCTTGGATATGTATATACATTGTTCTCATCTCTGAAGTAGTGCTGTTTTGTAGGTAAAAATAGTAATGATAGTATAACGAACAAATCGTAATAAGGTTCACAAATTATTTAAAAGAATATGCCCAGTAAACTCTTGTTGCAATACCGACTCACTCCGCTGTCTACATAAAACAGCATATACTTTGCACCATTCAACTGAAAATTAAGGTGTGTACAGATGGAAAATACAGAAGTTTAAGGGGGTGGAAAACAGAGCCAAAATAAGTGGGCCTTTGAGAAAACAGATCCCACTGCAACACAGATTTGTTGCTATGAATTTGAAGGATAAGAATAAATTAAAGAAAAATAAGAGATTGTGCATCCTCAATGAACATTTATAAAATGTTGGGTGGTAAAAAGACTAGAACTCAATTAGTGAAATGGTTTTTATAACACCTAAAATATGGTTAAAGGAAAATTTTCATAAGTTCATCCTAGATTACATAGATTTTTAATGTTAAACAAAAGTGGCATTTCCATTATTGTATTAGAATTTAGAAAGCTGCATATAGTCATATATGACAGATGGTGTTTATAAAATTCAGGGGCATGGGAGGACCATGTAAAGAATAGTCAAATATCAAAAAACACTGCAAGGGAGGTGACTAGCACCACATAAATATGGGGTATGACCAAAGAAAGATACTCAAAATTGGACACTATTGTCCTCGTCATACCAACAAATAGTTATCCGTACCACAAGCATGTCTATGCAGCTTTAATGCTTATAGTTATATCTGTGAATGCTGAATACAGACATGCACCTGCATGCCTGAACACTGCATTTTTATTGCTCATTTAATCTGGCTCCAAAACTAAGGTAAAAAGGAATCCACATAGTTATTAAAATTTTACAAACTATAGTCATACTACGTTTTGCAACATGAAATGCTTCTTAGAAGGATACAATGGTGTTCATCTAGAAAGTAATCCATATAAAAGCACAAAACTTTACTCCTTATCCTCTCACCTTCAATAACTTAGTCAGGTCATGCATGTAAATTTCAAAATGTTGAATGACTCATTTACTCTCAAAATTTATTTGCTCTTACATGTTCAATTAGAATCGAACTCTATATAACAAGTGAGTATGAGGTCTATATACTTAATTCAAGGGGTTTACTTAAGTCAACAAAAATTAGACCTCGCATGGTTTTAAAAACAATAGTAAAGTCCTCAACTGCGGAAAAAAAAAAATCATTTGAGCGTTTGTCAGCTGGGTTACAACAAAGTGATCATATTCATGCCACATATTTCTCAAACGTAGCAGCAAACTTGGTAAAAGCCCTTCCTTTACAACTTGAATTTTCTTCTTGTTTGGTGAAATTAACAAAAGAGCATGCCATTATTTTACATTTCTACCACCGCATACCATTTTTCCACCATTACCGCAGATGGATTCTTACTTTCATTACCGTTATAAATGTTAATCCCCACACCCCCTCCCCAGTAACATTAAATTTTTTTAATAGTATACAAAGTCCTCCAACACCATGCAGCAACCTCACAATTTTTGGGGGTCCTGAGAAATTGAAGTGAAGCAACCAATTTGCAGAAGAAACACAGAATTGAGAATTCCATTCAAAATTGGGAACCAAAATTACCCAGATAATAAATTCAAAAAATAAACAGTTATCGACCAAATGGGTATCCTAGAAACTACTCAAATTCATCAAATTGAGATTCCCATGTTCCTCAACCAAACACATTTAAGTGTCATTCATCATCTAAAACAAACCACACACACACAAAAAAACTGTAATCGAAACCAAGTAGTAGTAGCCGAGAGAGTGTGTACCTTCGAGAACGGAGTGAAGCCGAAAGAGATCCGAACGGTAGAGAAAGAGAGAATGAAGACGATGAAAACCCTAGGTGGCGCTTCAAACTTGAAACGAACCCCAATACTCTAAACTCGACCTCAAGGCTTTCATTCTGATATATATATTCTATAGTATTATAGCAAATAAAACAGGATAACGTACTCTTAACTATTAAGCGGGTTATAAGTATAATTTTTCTCAATTTTTTTAATGTGAAAAAAAGTAGTTTCATTCAGATTATTTAATAGGTAGATTTTATTTTATAATAAAAAGTGTATTGTTAGTATTGGTCATAAAATAAAGGTATTTATTAATTTTACGTTGTTAAAGATATTTTTATTTTATGTCATAGATATAAATATATGGGTCTCTTTAATTTTATTTTTCTTTATTTTTTTATAATATATGAGTCTCATATACTTATTGCTATAACATAAAATAAAATATCTTCAACAATATGAAATAATTTTTTTTTTTTTTTTATAACAGAAATAATATTTTTCCTTATGAAATTTTCGCACTCATTGCCCTGCTCAAAAATGATTTTTCATTTTCACTTTATCATATATATTTTTATGTTATTAATGTCTACTTTATGTTTTTTTTTTAAGAACATACTTATCAAATTGTCAAAAATATAAAAGTATTTTTTTTTTTTCTAACGCTCAATTCACGTTCTATTGTTCTTTTACTTGAACAAATTGAGCATTCACTGTACCAACCAAAAAGTCGATCAAAATGTCGAGCACATAGAATTAACTAAAACGAAGGGCCTGGCTAATTTATTTTATGGAGTTCAATAATTTCATGTGATAGAAGAAAAATTTTCTTTTACCATAAAGACGATATCCACCCATTTATAAAAAAAAATACAGAAATTGATGTATGTATAGGAAAAAAAATAATCTCCTATAGCATAAAAGAAATTTTCTATTATTTTATTCCGGTTAGCCATCCATTTATTCAATAAAAATGGATGATAAATTGGAAACCTCCAAGGCTAAATTGGGTGAAGATTAATATTGATGGGGCAGTTGAAAGGAATACTGAGGCTGCTTGTGGTGGGATTATTAGATCTGATGATGGCTCTTGGTTGGAAGGTTTTGAGTATCATATTGGTGCTTGCACTCCTTTAATGGAGGAGCTTTGGGGAACTCTAAAAGGTCTGGAATTAGTTTGGCAACTGGGATTTAAGAAGGTAGAACTAGAAGGAGATGCTTCTGAAGTATTCTCTTTGCTTGCTGATTGCAATGCAGCTTGTCAGCCTCGTATAGTGGTTAAGATACAAGCACTCATCGGTCAGGATTGGGAGGTAACGCTTTCTCATATTCCAAGAGAAGCTAATTCATGTGCAGATTGATTGTCTGCTCTTCACAAAGATACTGGATTCTGGAGTCATAGAGTTATGCCGTTTCACCTTGCTCAGTTATTTGATCACGATCTTCAGGGGATTTTCTCTTGTAGAGATATAGACCCTGGATAGTTGTTTTTTGTTTCTAGTTGTTTGTTTTTGTTTGGGGCTTCGCCCCTTAATGTTATCAAAAAAAAAAAAAGATAATTACTCACATTTATTACAATTACACCACAATTTGAGGTGAATATATATACACAATCACATATGGAAAATCATTTAATCAATATCAAAACTAAAAGGGAAATAAAATCTCCTATGATTCTGGAATAGAAAAGAAGAAAATAAATCTTTTACGATTAAGAATCATTTACAACTCATCAATTATAGCTCAACACATATAGATATTTGTCATGACTAGGGGTGAAACTGGGTCGGGCCGGCCTACAGGGGCCTACGGCTCGGTCTATATCAGGCCAGATCTGACCTAGTATATTTTGTATAATAGGCCGGGCTTGGGCCTTAAAAAAACATGTTTAATAAAAAGGCTGTAGGCTCACTTTCAAAAGGTCGGGCCTATAAGCCCACAGGCCAGCCTATATTGTACTATTTATTTTAAATAAAATAAAATAGAGTAAGTATGTCTTGAAGAAAAAACAAAAGATATAAATTTAATCAACTGCAATTATTTATAACTTAATTATATTCGATTATATTTTAATAGAAATCTTATTTTATTTCTTATATAGGAGGAACCAACATCTCAACATGTTAGATTGTATATATGAATATATTAAAAAAAAATGGGAGAGTTATACTTACTACAAGCATCATGATTTGTTTGTTGGATTCATGTAGTTATTTTAATTTACATAGTATGGATTTGTTTATTAGATCTGATGAAATATATGTTATTTAGTTTGAGCATTTTGCTTTCGAAAATTACTTAAGTGCATATTGTATGAGTTTTGTTATGATTCATGATTCTATTTGGACGTTGAAATTATGATTTTTGGTGTAACAACTGAATTTGAGTACTTTGTAAAGTTGATTCATGGTTCTGCTTGAAAGTTAAAAATTAACAGGCTAACGGGCCAAGCCAGACCATTTGTTTTTTTATAAACGGGTCAAACCAGGCTAACAGTTAGACTCATACTAGGCTTGGGCCAGGCCAAATTGAAATTTTTTAACGTAGGCTTGGGCTTTTCGGGGCAAAACATGGCCCAGCCCAGCCCACTTTTACCCCTAGTCATGACCAACTTGTCAATTGCATTTTGGAATATTTTTCTTTACAGAACCCTTATTAGTAGTATATGTACTAATTGATCCTCAAACTTGACAAAGGGAAAGTAAATTATTTTTTATCCATCTTTTCCTTGGTAGAGTGACGGTGGGCTTCAACATTTTTGATCCAATCATGTTATATCAAGTTATTAGCAATCTCAATTACATTTTTATTATCACAATGAAGATAAATAGGTTAATCATAACAGATTCCCTAATCCTATAAAACACTTCTAATCCAAAACAACTCACATTCTCTATTAGCCATACCTCTAGATTCACCTTCCACATTGGATCTTGCTACAACCTTTTGTTTTTTGCTTTTTCAAATGATAAGATTACCTCCCACAAAAGTATAATAACTATATATGGATTGTTTGGTTGTGTGGTCCCCAGCCCAAACAAAATCAATGGACCCTTCAATGCAAGTAGTATTGTTTTTTTGAGAACAAGAAACCTTTGCCGCCTGGACAGGGGTATACATATGGTTTGGCCGAGGTGACATTAGTCTCCTGATCACAACATGTGTTGCTTTTATTGGAATCTATGATTCTTGGAAGTGTATATTTGGACTCTCCTTGTGGGATACAACCCCTGGAGTATAGTTATAACAATCCTTATTGTCAAAATTGTTGGATATTTGTTATACCCCAATTGTTTAATTGATTTAAAATATGTTTTGATGATTACAATCAATTTAATGTTAATTTAATTGATAATATTTTATTGTCTTGAAATTACTAATGAGCTGGTTGTTTGAGATTTCAGAATAATATTTATTCTGATTGAATTAGTATTCAAGATAATTGAAGATTGGAGAAGATATGGAAGATATCATGAAGAGAGAGAAGCATGGAATCAAGTAAAGATTATGATAGATTTTATCTTTTTAGATTTCATGTAAGAGAAATAAAATATTCTTTGCCAAAGATTTGATTAAGATTGTATTACATAATAGAATAAGATATTTAAGGTTTACATATTTTTTATTTAAAAAAAATCAGAAATCTTATTTTTGAAAATTGCATTTAAAATTTCATTCAAGGGTAAAAGATTTCTGATTAGATTTTGAAAAAGATTTCAAATTTAAATATTATACCTTTTGGGCTTTTGAGAGAGAGAAAATATTATTATTATAAATAGGGCTCATTGCATATTATTCATGAGAGGAGAAAATACAATATTCATGAGAGGAGAAAATACAATTCCCCCGCACTCCGGATTAGTCCCATAGCCGGCTCAAAGAGTCGAAGCTCGTGGGGATACCGGAGGGAGCCAACTCGTCTCAAAGAGATAATTAGGGTTGGGTAACTCCAAAAAAAAAAAAAAAAAAAAGAAAATACAAGTGAGAGAGAAGAGAGAAGAATATACAAGAAACAAAAGAGATAATTATATTTTTAAGATTAGGATTCTTTCTTGTGCATCAAGTGAAGAGCTTTCTCAAGAACATTCATTCATACATTCATCCTTTTGCAAAGTGAATATTTCTCCATAGGAATTCAGATTACCTATTTGCTTGAGGAAAAGAAGTATTGGGGTAAATCATTTAATTGTAAATTTCTTCTTGACCTTTTTGAATGTCTATACTAGGAAACTTGGATACCAGTTCTTGTGCTGAGAAACTGAGATACCAGCATGTCTCTTTTTCTTGGAAATTGAGAGTAACTTGAGAACCCTTGTGTGATAAGGTTTCGGAATCCTAAAGGGTTAGGATTTCGTACTGAGAAACTAGAATACCAGTTGGGAATTTGTGTAAGGGGTAGACTAGGAAACTAGGATACTAGAGAACTCTTTGTACACAAGTTTCATAGTGAAATTGCCCGTCGAATTTCAGTATTCGATTTTAGGGCCCATGGTTTTTCTTCCATTCTGGGTTTTCCACGTAAAAACTATTGTGTTAATATCTCTCTATCATTATCTTGATTTATTACTTTGAGCTAATTTTTAATTAGCAAATTATTTTTAGAGTAAATACCATTTTTAGTCCCTAACAAAAAACACGGTCCCCACTTTAGTCCCTTACAAAAATAAATTAGTCAGTTAGTCCCTAACAAATTCAAAGTGGACCCATTTAGTTGAAATCGTGGTCCCTCACAAATTCAAAAAAGACCCATATTAGTCCCTCAAAAGGACTAAAATGGGTCCACCTTGAATTTGTTAGGGACTAACTAACTAATTTATTTTTGTAAGGGACTAAAGTGGGGACCGTGTTTTTTGTTAGGGATCAAAAAGGGTCTTTACTCTTATTTTTATAAAACTCAATTCACCCTTCTCTTGAGTTCATCCGGGACCAACAAAAATGGCTGAAACATACTTAGTGAGATTCTATGACTTTTATGCATTCAAACTTTAATCTAATGACACCACACCATCAAATACACAATGAATTCATGCTACACACATTCAATTGATCATTTTGCATAGAAACCCTAAATTAACTACACATGGCCGAATTGACTATAGTTAAAGACTTAGGATTTCTTTATATTTTCATTAACA